ATTGCATGGGGCCGCTAAATCTTCTGCCTCAGTGTTCCACAGAACAGGCTAGCGCATTAAAAAAGCATTTCTAGTTTACCTATAGATGTAGCCGCTACCCTGTAGAACATCTTAAGTGATAGGTGCAGTAAAAATCTAACCTCCTCCCTTTTCCAGCCTCTGTCTTAATGCCTGGGTAATGCAGACATTTCTTTCCCACAGCAATGCTTTGTCTCAGGCTGGTTCACATTAGGGCCTTGCATTAATCACACAGTTCTGTGCGATCAATGCATGGTATCGGGCAATGAACCTACCATGTGTTAACAATGCCAGAGGTGCTTTGCATTGTCATTCATTTGAATGGCACCCCAAACACACCTCCCACCTGCAATGCGATCGAATGCACCACAACGCATGGTACCACAATACTTTGGACTTTTTTCCACTGCACCACAATGATTAACACACGACCCCGGACAGGGAATGGCCCTTGAGAATTAGAGGTGCACTGAAATTAACTTTTAAAACCGAAAATGAAAAAAAATTTCAGGCCGAACACAAATTTTCTCTTTTTAATAAACTTTTTAATTTTTTAATATTTTATTTTTATTTGTAATAAATATATATATATTTTTTTTACTTTACTGCTGGGGGATTTGAGGAAACAGATCCCTGATATTTGTCTTTTAAAATAGAAAAAGAGATTGAGGACATAGTTTTCAATCTCTTTTTTTTTTGCAGCCCCAGTTATCAATGAACAGGAATCCTCTACAAAATACTGAGTGTTCCTGTTCATACATTGGGGAGATAATATGAGTTACTGTGTCCACAATCATGGATGAAAAGGAGGTGATGTACATCACCATTCATTCATAATTGGGGACACAGTAAACATACTATGTCCGCAATTATTTACAAACACTCAGCGATCACTGATCTCTGACTACTTGTACCCGCTCTTCATCCTGATACGCTGTCACAGGAGGAGGAGTGGGCGGTGCAGGGAGGAGAGCTTGTTGAGAATGATAGCAGCCTGTCCTGGGCATGTGCCAAAGTAAGATCAAGGTCTGCCATTATACTCTATGGCATTCCTCATTCAGCTTGCTGCATGTGCTGGGCTGGGTGTAGAAAAAGCTGTGCCAGAGGAGGCCACGGTCTGCAGTGAGAAGTAAAGAAATATATACCTATTGGTGCTGTGGAGGCGAAGTTGCGAAAATATTGTTTAAAGCGGAACTCTGGGTAGATTAAAAAAAGACACAATTTAATGCAACTCTATAATTGTTACCCTTTCATTAAATGTGTGTGTGTGTTTTTTTTTTTTTTTTTAAATGCAAGCAGTGTAAGTACCTGAATGTGACCTGATATCAAACTCCTGCAGTCCCTGTATTGCAGGGTGTGTGAGGAAGCATGTGGCACAAGGAGCCAGCCAGTCAGTTCATGTGCTGATAGGCAGATACAGCAGAGTGACAGAGAGATGAGCTCATCACTGTGCTGCTTCTCCTTTTACTGTCCAGTCACAGAATAGGGGTGGGTTTAGGATGATATGGGCTCAGAGGCAGTGGGTTGACTCATGCTGGGCATCAAACTGAGGACATCCAACGACAGAAAAATGTGCTGTGAGGAAAATCTCTGGATTGAAGAGGAATATTGCAGCAAAAGCTGGTTTTGTTTTATTTTTTAATGGACTATTTGTTTTTATCTTATTTTTTGGGCTGAAGCCATAATGGTTTGGGGCCAACTATTTTTTTTTTCTTCATTTAAAAAGCTGAAAAACATGTGCTTTGTGTGTCAGCGTGGGTGCTTGTCTACTCAGTCAGGGGCACATGTGATAGGGTGACATCGCAGGAGAACAACTGGGGGATCCTCAAGTATTATTTCAGTGAAACTTGCAGATTTACTAAGGCTGGGTTCACACCTAGGCTTATCGAATATGCGCGTTTGTTGCGCGTTTCGTGTCGCGCATTTGCCGTGCGATTTGCGGGAAAAAAAACCCTTGACAAACGCGCGTTTCCAAGGGCTACTTGGCTGTATCCCAATGGAAACGCGTGACAAAAACGCCCCAAATAAGCTCCTGTACTTCTTTGGGTGTAGGGTGTTTTGTAGCGCGTTCATACGGCCTGTAATACGCCCAGGTGTGAACCATACCCATAGGAAAAAATAATGGGATTTCTGTGCTTGAGCGTTTTGCAGAGTGTAGGAACGCGCTACAAAACGCCCCGGTGTGAACCGGGCCTAAGATTGGAAACGAGGCATTAGAAGGTTTACTGCCCATGCCATTCTCTTCAGCTCCTGCCAAGGACAACATGTGTGCGAGCATGTCATTGCAGCCCGGCTAGGCGATGAGCATAGTGCTACAGTGATTGGGTGCCCAATACAGAAGGCTGAGTAATCCAAACTTGGAGTAAGAGCACCTTGGGAGGTATGTGGGCCATAATCTGTATGCTGTGCAGGTTATGGCAGGACCACTGGGAAACCGCAATCGCACAGTTCAACTTTAACTCCCACACAAAGCAACCTAGCAGTGGTGTCTGGCAGGGCTATGTATATATCTTGTATTATAGGACTATTGGGTGTATTATATTGGATATGTATGTATTCAATGTATGTATGTATGTATGTATTTCTGCAGTGCTTTGTTGAGTTTGATTAGTTTTTAATAACGAAGTTTGAAAGCAGTTGACGTTACGCCGTGAAGTATACTTCCTAAATATGCAATTGAGACAATTTTCAAAGTCTCTTGTGGCATTTTCTGAATTACATTCTTATTTTAACCATTTCTTATGTGGTAATGCTCACGTTACATGATATAATGTGTTGAAACTCCATCTGTACCAGCCAAACCAGTCTAGAGGTGCACTGCTAATGAGGTTTACTTACCACGCATACCACATCACTAGCCCGGAGTGATGGAACCATGACATTGCCTTCTAATGTCAGCTGATTGAAGTTTACTTATTAGTGAAACGGTTAATCTGATAATTTGTAGCTAATAGAGCTCATTTAGCCTGCGTCCTGCCTTCCGACACTCCCAGGAGACAGTAACACAGACTCATTAGCAGAAAACTTGTTAATGGCATTGTTCTTCTTGCAGAGTATTTTACACATTTATCTTGCAAGACAATTAGTTGTCTAGGTGCTGGAGGAAACCTGCCGTGAAAAAGATACATAGGTTCCCATTGCAGATCCTTTTCTATAAATCATGGTTACCTAGCTATTCTACTGATTTATTGGCTTTGGTACTTTCTGGCTTGCTGAGAATGGAGGTCAAGATAACTATGGAGACTCTGTAAGAACACAAAAAGTTGTTGACAGAATGTAGAGCCGTACTGACGAGTAAAGCTCCAAGCGATACCCAATAGTGTTGGAGATTTTCAAGTCCGTTCTTTACCTCCACGTTGTTATTGGACTGTCTCATTAGCCAATAGGAATGTGCGGGAAGTAGCAGGCATGTGTCAATACTATCAGGAAGTGGTAATGCTCTGCCCATCAGAATGGCCAATGATTTGGATGAATCGGGCAATGGAAGCTGCTGTGGGTACATCACTATATATCTTGAAGTAACTTTTTTGTTTTTCTTAAAGTGACTGAGTCTCTTTAAGGCAGGGGTGGGCAAACTCTGGCCCTCCATGTGTGGTGAAACTACAAATCCCATGATGTATCTGTCTCTCTCTCTCTGGGAGTCATGTCTGTGGCTGAGGATCTTGCAATGCCTCATGGGATTTGTAGTTCCTCAGCAGCTGAAGAGCCACAGTTTGCCCACCCCTGCTTTAAAGAGACTCAGTCACTTTAAGAAAAACAAAAAAGTTACTTCAAGATATTTAGTGATGTACCCACAGCAGCTTCCATTGCCCGATTCAACCAAATCTTTGGCCATTTGATGGGCAGAGCATTACCACTTCCTGATAGTATTGACACATGCCTGCTACTTTCTGCTTCGTGCACATTCCTATAGGCTAATGAGACAGTCCAATAACAACGTGAAGGTAAAGAACGGACTTTAAGGGCTTGATCATACTATGTTTTTGTTTTCTGAGCTATGCCTGTTCTTGTCATTGTCATATGCACTGTGTGTCTAGTGCATGAAAGTCCTGATCCCTGTGACTTCTGGGACCTGCAGCCTTTCCATCTTTTTTCCCTTCTGCTCTTTGTTTGCCTACAGCAGGCTGAGGGTAGGAAACAGCTTGATTCTCCCATCAACGTTAAGGCTAGGTTCAGATATCGGTGATCCCAGGACGTGCGTCCCGGGCCACGCGATCGTGCAAGATTGCACACAGCGATTGCCATGCGGCTCCATTGAGTTCAATAGGGTTATATCTGCACGGTAATCCCTGAAAAAAGGTACGTATACCGCCTTTTTGCGACACGCACCGCAATTTTTTCAACCGTGATCGTGCACAGATGTTGTTCCGCGCGATCTACCTGGCGCAACTGGGGTGCCATTAGAAAATAATGGCACCGCCAGCGTGATCATCGGTGGTGTGCGATTCCGTGACCGCGCGGCCAACCATGTGGTTTTTGTGCACGATTGCTGCGCGGTCACGGATCGCCCTAGTGTGAACGTAGCCTAAATAACATGGATGGAGGAATCTGCCCTGTCAGCATTGTATTTGTACAGCCAGTGGCCATGGCTGTCAGAATACCTGAACAGTGCCTGGCTTCTTCGATTTTTCTGTTGAAGTTTGTAGAGCCGGGTGGTGCTGGCAGAGCCACTCACTGTCAGAAAGGGTAAAGTTATAGACTCTTATGAATGCATATTAGGAAACACCCATTTATACTAGTAACTATTGTAATGTATCGATGGTTGTAGAGTGTATGGCCACCTTAAGGTCTTGCGATGGTTGTAAAGTGTATGGCCACCTTTACAGCCTGATGTCATTAACAGTGGAATGGGCATCCCGGGTTGAAATAAAAATGATCTACAGTGTATCCAGTTTAGCTTCCTATGTATGTTCAGTTTTTACATATCATGTACTGTATTTTTATATGCTAGCATTCATTCTGAGTGTTTTTTATTTATTCAGACCTGATACAAAATCACAGCCAGTCCAGGTACTTACTGAGGAAGAGATGAACAAACTTGGCGCCAAGATTGTCAAAGCGGAAATAATGGGTAACATGGTAGGTCGCAGCTTCCATCTCAAATATTGTTTTTTTTTACTTTTGACTGAATTTTGGAAGGTGTCTGAAATTTCATGTTACAAAATCTGTGTGCTGTGGGACAGTGACATACAGTTGTGTGAAAAAGTGTTGGCCCCCTTCCTGATTTTTCATTGTTTTGCACGTTTGTCACACTTTAATGTTTCAAATCATCAACAATTTTTTAATATTAGTCAAATTTAACACAAGTAAACACAACATGCAGTTTTTAAAGAAAGGTTTTTATTATTAAGGGAAAACATCATCCAAACCCACATGGCACTGTGGGAAAAAGTGTTTGCCCCCTAAACCTAATAACTGGTTGGGCTCTTGGGGTAATCGGGGTCATTTTGGTTGGCCGCCCACTCCTGGGAAGGTTCATCCCTGTTCCATGTTTTCGCCATTTGTGGATAATGGCTCTCACTGGTTCGCTGGAGTCCCAAAGCTTTAGAAATGGCTTTATAATCTTTTCCAGACTGATAGATCTCAATTACTTTCTCATTTGTTCCTGGATTTCTTTGGATCTTGGCATGAATTGTAGCTTTTGAGGATCTTTTGGTCTACTTCACTTTGTCAGTCAAGTCTTATTTAAGTGATTTCTTGATTGCGAACAGGTGTGGCTAGAGAAATTGAACTCAGGTGTGATAAGCCAGAGTTATGTTTTAACAGGGTGGGGTGGGGGGGGCGGCAAACACTTTTTCACACAGTGCCATGTGGGTTTGAATTTTGTTTTCCCGTAATAATAAAAACCTTCCTTTAGCAACTGCATATTGTGTTTACTTGTGTTATCTTTGACTAATATTTAAATTAGTTTGATGATCTGAAACATTAAAGTGTGACAAACGTGCAAAACAATGAAAAATCAGGAAGGGGGCCAACACTTTTCCACACAACCGTAGTTCAATTGCAAGCAGAGAAGGTTAATGTGGACTAAGACCAACAAACAATATTTACTTATTAATACATTAACCCTGCTAAGCACTGTTTGCATTTAACCCTTTTGCTTCCAGAGCCATTTTGGCATTTTTTTTTTTTTTTGCATAATCCTGAAAATGGCTTAAAACTGTCCAAAATGATGCGCTTTCCTAAAGCAAGATCCCAGAGAATAAAATAGTGTCAGTTGCAATTCGTTATGTCATATGATATTAGCACAGCAGTTTGTTAAAGTTTTCAGTAGAAAAACATTCAGATAAATTTTAGTACACACAAAAACAATATAATACCCAGTGTTTGGTAAAATATAAAACATGAGGATGTGCCAAGTAAATGGATACAAACATGTGAAGCTTCAAATTGCGTGCACCTATGAAATGCAAAAAAACATTGGTATCTTTTAAATGAAAGGTGTTTGATTTTCTTATAACTTTGTTTTGTTTTTCAATTCTCCCAGAAAGCGGACAGTTACTTGACGGAGTGTATACACAGTACAGCTGCTACAGGGGCCAGGAGTCTGTTTATAGCTCCCTTCTGCCATGGATGTACTTGCATCCGTTGCAGCGAAAGATTTACATTGAGCACATAATATAACCCGAGTAATAGGTGAGCAGGCCTGATTACGATTAATTCTTGTTCTCCTCATTGCAGGGGGTGACGCTTGTTCCCCCTTTTTGTGCTTCAGTGACACCATGGGACCTCAATCTTGTTTTCTTGGTCCCTTCAGAGCTGCCCTTTGATTAATGATATTTCTCTGCCTTTGCTTACTTGCAAGGTGTCCTTGTTCGTAGCCAAGACTTCTGCTAGGCATGTTTCTGAATTAGTGGCCTTTCTGGTCATCCATAAGAATAAAGTTGTGCTGAGGCCTAAGTAAATCTTTCTCGCAAAGCTGGTCTCTGTCTTCCACCTTAATCAGGACACTGTTAGGTGTATTTGCCTGACCATCTCGCAGACCTATGAGCTTAAGGGGAAAGTTCTTTTGTTTCTGGTCAAGGCACGTTCCATTGGAAGTGTTAGTGCAAGCTTGGGCTTTTCAGCAACAAGCCCGAGATCTGTAAGGCTGCCACCTTGTCCTCGGTGCCCACTTCTGCTGCGCTCTACACAATAGATTTTCATGCCTCGGCGGATACCAGTTTTGGCTGTAAGGTCCTGTAGGTGGCCCTGTAATCATTGGGTGCACCTCTGTTTCTAGTTCTCTATTCTAGTTCTTCACTGTTGTGGTTGTTGTTCCTTGCACCTGTTAGCCATTGTTTGCTGTCCACCCCTGTTGGACTGTGTTTGAATGGCCCAGTGGTCTAAGACTTAACTCCTTGTGCCCTGTGATGTACTATCAAGAATACAAGATTTTGTCTTACCAGTAAAATGTGTTTGGATGGAGTACATCACAGGACACAGGAGCTTCCCCTCTGTATTCTGTGATCCACTTTGTATTGCTTTCTACAAAACGGAGGCGGGCTGGAAATGGGAGGGCTTATGCAGCGTTGTATGGCAGCTTTGAGTGATTTGCCAGTGTCCAGTCACCTGAAGTTGGCTGCATAACCCAGTGATCTATTAATTAACTCCCTGCATCCTGGGATGTACTCCCAATAAATCGGTTTTACAGGTAAAACAAAAAATCCTGTTTTGTCTAAGCAGGGATAACCTGTAGAATAGGTTTTCTTTAATCCCCCTCCCCAGCTACACATACTCTCAGAAATCTAGTTTTCAAAATCTAGTTCTAAAATCGTTATGAAGTCGTAATTGCATAAGTATTCCTTCTCCTCACTGGTAACCCCCTAAGTAAGCTTTGCTGCCTTCTGAGATCATATAATTAGAAGAGTGGAGTCCACCTGTGTGCAATTAGTTCCACATGATCTCCAAAATATATACACCTGTTTCTGGAAGGCCCGCAGTTTGTTAAAGTGTCTAAACAAACTGCATCACGAGGAGCTATCAAACTATGTCAATGATTTGTTCTGAATAAGCAATGACCAGGTTTGAGTTAAAAAAAAAAAGAAAATCAAACAAAGCAAACCTTGAATCCTTCTTCAGGGCTTGTTCACACGACATCCACATTGTGTCCGGACCAGATCCCTGCGCTCATGCACCCAAAATGCATCCCAATGTATCCCTATGTGTTTTATGGGCTACAGTTCTCACGAGCGCAGTCCGTTCTGGACCAGACAGACAAAATACTGCATGTCACATTTTGTCCGGTCCGTAAACGCAAAACGTGTTAAAAACGCACTGCACTGCAGCTAACATAATGACAGCCCCACTCCAGCTTTTTTTTTTTACTGGAACGCGTCAAAAACGTACAGCACCACGTCTGCAGATCTGCTCCAGATCTGGTCCGGACATCGTGTGAACAAGCCCATAGAGTTACCTTGGGTCTCTTAATTGCTTCTCTACTTCCTCCCTTACCTGGTCTTTGAGTGTTTAACTTTGCCCTATGGAATGTTTCAAGTGTAACTTCAGGTCTGAAGCTGCCCATACGCCTATAGATTATCTGCAGATTTTCTATGATCAGATGGAAAAAGTGCAACAGATTCCTCCATCTACGCTACACTGTGTGGATGGAGGAATCTCCCACTTAGGCCTCGTTCACACCAAAACTGCATTGAAAATGCATGCGTTTTAGCCATTGCGATGCAATGTGTTCTACCGTGTTTTTGATGCGTTCCGATGCAGTTTTTTTTTTTCCCCCTCAAAATGCAAATCAGACCATATGTCACTTCCTTCTTCCTGTCACAGCACTTTCTTCCTTCATTTTCTAGCTCAGACATGCTTCCTTTGCTTGAAGGCATGGTATTAGTGTTGGCTATAGCTATTCTCACCCAACGTAGGAGGTTATTATAATATAATAATAATAACGTCATTATTGGGTGCACCCCTTGCTGAGGGTCAGAGATTTTTGATTATTAGATTAGCATCCATGTCTGCCATGTTTCCAGAGCTGCTCCATTCTAATCTCCTCTACCAACTCACAGGAAGTCCCCAGAAGATGACATTACTAAATCTGTGGGTTTTTGTTTTTTAGTTGCGTTGCTTTGCGTTCCGTTGCATGCGCTCGTATGCGTTTTTGATGCGTTCCGAAGCAGCTAAAATAGTGCAAGCAGTACTTTTTCTGGCTGCATTGGAACGGACTAGTCTGGTGTGAACAGAACAACAGAATCCCATTGGAAATCATTGTGCTGCGTTTTTGATGCAGCTCAAAAACGCAACGGACTGCATCTGATGTGAATGGGCCCTTAGTGTGCAGCACTCAGGGAGGGCAAAATCCGGAGTGGCTTCTGCGCCCTCGCTACGCCTAACAAGGACACTCATCTTAACTCCATGAAGAGAGTAAGTATAAAAGTAAACAAAGTGCCGATGTGGGTAAGCAAAGACATTCATTGTCCTGCTTCTCTGCACTTTTATTAATCTTGTTGTTTTTTGCAATCATAAAATCTCTCCAGGGTGCCATGTAAACTAATAACACACACTATCGCATGCCTACATAACTGCAAAATTAATAGTTTAATTATATGGCATAGTCGGCAGTAAGGAGTAAATGTTTGCTGTTTGTTGCAGATTATCAATTGGGTGCACAGTGATTGGTTGCCTACTTCACCCACAAATTTACATAATGCTGCTTTTTACATAAAACAATAATACAAATACAATAAATTAGAAACTACTTTCTTGCTGAAGACCGAATGTGAATATTTGTTCACAAATGACAGATTTAACAATAAATGAAATGGAAAGACATTGCTTCTCAAGCATTTAAAGTGATATTAAAGCCAAAAGGGTGTTAAGCTTTTTCAAGTGCTGATGAAATCACGTACAATTGATGCTGCTCATTTGTTTAAAAGTTTTAGTTTGCAGCAGAATCATCTGATCTCCTGAGCACTGGCCCTGATATCCTGTTTTAGGCTCCTTTCTCTTGCAGGGTCCTGTGGAGCCATCCTTGTGTATTTTAGTAAGTTATGTGTGTCCACAAACACAGGCACAGCAAGGCAAGTCACTCTCCTGCTCCCCAATCTTCCCTTCTTTCTTTAAACTAGTAGATGGATAGTTGCTGGAGACTATGCTGTCCCCTGTGATCTTGTACTGATCAGGAGGTTCAGGGAAGCCTAGCTGTGAGAGTTGGAGATGTGACCCGACTATCAACTACCTGGAAGTATGGAATGGAATAGAAGATTAGGGCATGTGATCAGCTGTTACATTAGGACATGTGTAAGGGTATCATAATGCGTCCTCTGAGCTGCATTGATACCTTCTGAAGTCCACTTTGTTAACCTACTTCAGTGCATACATAAGGGTACCACTCTATTTTGCATACCTAAATAAGGATGTATAATGCTTTTTTTTTTTTAATACTGTAATTGTACATGACACTTAAGATACTAAACAGATGTGCACTGCCACCTTCAGGCTGCGCAGGCTAAAGGTTTCTTTTGTCTTGAAACCCTCTATGGCCCTCATAGCTGATAGTAACTCCCACACCTGATCATTAGTGGGGGCCTAACCTGTCAATGACAGCTGAGTTTAAGAGCTACCAGCCACAAAACGTGTCGGCTTTTACGTCTGAAACGGAGGACATTTTTAATATATCCTCAGCACAGGGCATCATGCAGAGGAATATTTATTTAAGAATTTTGGGTAGGAACGGGTCAAACATTAATTGGAGGGAATTTATCCGAACTGGAGCAGACAAATGCGAAAGCAGTTGCCCATGGCAACCAATTAGATTCTATCTTTCATTTTCAAAACTTAACTGAAGAGCAAAGCTGATGGGTTACTATGGACAACTGCTCCAGATTCTGTCAGCTCCGGTTTTTCATAAATTCCCCCCCCATTGTATTTATTTCTGTAGGACCCATCAGGCTATATACCTGTAAAGCATGCTGCATTGTATCTTCACGGGCCTGGTTTTCATTATTTAATTAAGAGGGATTCTGGTAGAAACAAAACACCCTGAACACTCTTAGCACGTGTTTTTATATAACAAGAACCAGAGACAAAATTCAGCAAAAATACCCTATAGCATTTTTTACTTAGATAAACTTTTGGGGAAAAAGAAGACGCTTTTGGATGCTTTTGGCTTTTTATTGTCAATTCTTTTTGAGGTCTGTTACTTCATTTTCGCAAAGAACTTAAAGTGATTTGATTATATTTCCTAACTTTTTAAAGCAATGTTTTTGTCTTGCAGACGCTGGCTTCAAAACTTCGAGCTCAGTTGGAAGAAGCTCGTCAACAGAGACAAACCCAAGCACAAGCTCCCGTGAATGTCAGAAGAGAGAAATCGGAGGTAAAGTCCTGGCTTCCAGCAATTAAGGCGATTTTGTGCTGGTAGAAGGAGAATTATTATATGGTATTGATGACTTGGCTTTGTAGAAGTGGTACTTTTTAAAGGAGAACTATGAGGTGAGTGAAAATCATAGTTCTAGCCTCATAGTTCTCACAGTTCTAGCCGACCTGTGACATTGAAACTGTCACAGGTCGGCTCAATAGATCGGGAAGTGAGCAAACACATACCGTCGCTCGCTCACTTGTCCATCTATCCCTGCAGAGAGCCGTGACTGTCACTCATGGCTCCCTGCAGGGATTCCCCCCCCTCCCCTGTCCGATCCTCCAGCGCTGACTGGTGGAACGGACAGGGGAGGGGCGGGCACAGCTGGCTCTGCCTCTAGATAGGCAGAGCCAGCTGTCAATCCCGCAGCTGGGTGGATCTCGACAGTAATGTCGGGATCTGTCCCGGCTGCGGCATCTCAGTATACCGCGAGCTGTAGCTCGCAGAATACTGAGCTTAGGGTGACGGGAGGGCGCTAGTTTGTGTCCTCCCGTTACCCTTAGGAGAACTATGGGGAAAGACACTTACCCCATAGTTCTCCTTTTTAAGTATTTTTTTTTCTTCAAATATCGATTTTTTTTTTTTTTAATTATTTTTTTTTAATTAGATTTTCAAATAGCACAAGAAAACAATACACAAACAGTAGGATCAACAGTAGTAAATGCTCTCGTAGATCATTTCCCAAGGTAGCTTGGAGAAAAGATTACATAGCATAGTAAGGAAACAAACAAGATAGGATACGTAGGGGAAGAACATTGAATAATGCTAAATGAGGAAAGGGAAAAGAACAAAGAACAAGGGGAGGTGTCGCAAGAAAACATACCAATTTAAAGGATCCACGATTTCCATTTGTTGTCAAATTTTACTGCAGAGCCAGTTGTCAGCGTGTACAGCCTCTCAAATTCGTAGTGTAATTGTAGAGTTTTAATAGTTTCATTCACAGAAACACTTGATGTACTTCTACAATGTCGGAAAATAGTAAGCTGGGCTGCTAACAATGTATGAACAACCAGCGGACGATATTAAGTAGGAAAATGGTCAATTCCTAATAGCAGGAGACCCAAAGCAGGGTCCGAAAGGTGTAATACAACCAGTCATAGATGAGATTAGCATAAAAATACGTCACCAGTAACCAGTAAGGGACCTGCATGACCATAGAATATGTAGGAGAGATCTGACCTGACCACAATTCCTCCAGCACAAAGCTAAAACAGAGGGAGAAAATTTAGACAAGCGGTAGGGTGTCGTGTACCATCGCAAGGAGATTTTGTGGAAAATTTCCTGGAAACTTGCGTTTTAGTTGCCTTTTGGAGTGAGGTTGGGGTCAAAGGCCATTGATCCGGGGAAAAAGGCACTCCCAACTCCCTCTCCCAATCCAAAAATGCTTGAAACTTGGTGAAAGATTGTTTATGTTGTAGGTAGGAGTAAACGAGCCATATACCCCCTTTACGGCAACGGGGTAGATGTGAAATAATCCCAGATACAGTTTGGTATTCTTGGCCAAGCATTAAGTAGTGATGGGAGAACATGTGCGAGTTGAAGATATCTAATATGATCATTACTAGAGAATATAAATTGGGACACTAATTGTGGGAAGGGCCGTAGCTTAAAATCAATGAGTAAATCTTGGATATAACGCACACCTTGTTGAGACCAGGAAACTTTTAAGTATTTCATAAAACTTGGTGCTTCCTGTAAATTATACATTTTTTTTTTGTTTGAGTTTAGATGTTGAACACTGCGCATGTCTGAAGAACAACCCTCTTCTACATGCGCAGTGTGTGGCGGTGAATTACTTTTATTTACTATTAGTGTTTTGCACGGCGCCATCCGTGTGGTCACCTGGGGGCACCACATATACCTTGTGGTTTTGAGACCGTGGCAGTGCGAATGGGATTTGGACTTTGTTCTAAATACAACCAACACATTTACCTCCTTTTCTTCTAATGATAAAGCAACTGATATTGAAAACCATTTTCCTACGTTCTCACATAATTAGTGTATTTGCTTTCTGTATGGAGTAGAGCTGGCATTGCATTATGGGAGATTTTTTTCCCCTTGATTCAGCTAAGAAATACTGGGCAAAAAGGGTGGCCACGTGCAGGAGTTCAGACTTCACACAGATACTGGCAATGGAAATGGCATGAAAAGTTTTTTTGGGTGGTGGTTGTGCATTCCATTTCTGTTATGTGGCAGTTTTAAATGATCATTCTGAGCAAAGTTCCAAAGTCCAAAATAAAAATGAAGCCTTGAGACACAGGGAATGCAGCTAAACCTAATCAGGGGTCTCTCTACAGTGAGAATACACCTATGATGTTTTACTATTCATTTTGATTTCCTTTACTTCAACAGGAGACGAAGCCTCTCTCTGCCTGTTCAGGCTTAATTACTTACCTAGCAAGTCTTAGAACAAGGGCATTAGGAAATCTGTTTCAGGAGCTGGCCAAGCATGTCTCCCCATCTTGCAATTGATTTTTACATTACCATCCGAAGTAGAATGAATCTGTGCGCTCATCAATTCCTATATGCCAAGGCTATAGAATGCTGGTGACAGGCTCTATTTTATGTTCTGTAGGATTTGCATTACTCTTCTAAACCCCATCTTCATGTAAATTGCGTACAAAATGTAACCCTAGTACAAAGCAAAAAAACCCAAACATTTAAAGCCCATCTCTAGGCAAAGAAAAAACGTCCCCTTCCAGTGTGGTGCTCCCTCCCCCAACCCCCCGGACTGCAAGGGTTAAGTGTTTTTTTCTGGACGACTCACCTGATCCCGGACTGCTACTTACCTGATCCTGGACTGCTCCCCCCCTCATGCCAAAAGTCAGTGCTCACTAGAATGTCCCTCAGCATCCTCCCGTCTAATGCAGTTCTGTGGACCCTGTTCTTAGACATGATAATATCGGCGGTCCTTAGACCGCAGGAACAAAGGGGGGAAGAGGCTGTGGGGACCGGTCTATCAGCCTGGACAGATATGGCGGGAGCAGGAATCGGGTAAAACAGCTTTTGTAGTAGCACTTGCAGTGCGGGGATAGCAGAAGTTTTTTTTTGTTTGCCCGAACATGGGCTGTAACACTTGTAAAAAAAGAAAAAAAAAACTTTAGCAGCTGCCATATAGATGGAGGAGTTTTAGAGTGCATTCACACCAAATTCGGAAGGAAATTGCAAGTCAATGGAGGGTCCATTGACTTGCAATTGTACCTTCTGATTTCATTCCGATCGGTTGCGTTGTGATCCGTTTTTCAACGAATGCTAAAGGAAGGGCACCAAAAAATGAATGGGGCTAGTTCACACCGGATCCGTTGTGTTCGGTTGCACTGAAAATAAAGTAGTTCATGTTCTCCTTTTTTTTTTTCTTCAGCGCAACGTAATGCAATGGATCTGGTGTGAACCAGCCCCATTCACATCCGTTCTTTTTTTGGTGCCCTTCCGTTGGCATCTGTTGAAAAAACTGATAGCAAAGCAACGGATCCGGTGTGAATGGGCCCTTAAAAAATGAGCATCAGATTTTGGCTATTCCTGCCTGCCCTAAAGGAGCATTTTTTGAGCCCCATATATATTGGCCATTATGATGCAGTGCTGGGTCATATATTTCAACCCCAAAAACAAAAATCCACAACACTCGCCGCTCAAACTCTACAGTCATATTCATATGCTGAGGATTCTCGAGGTGCTGGCAAGAGGATGTATTTTGTTTTCTTTTTGTTTTACTCTTCTGCTAGCAATTGTGCTGCCTATGAGTTCTCACCAGCAGTAGGATCACAAGTGTGTCATTGGCCTCACCATTAGGGATTTTTCCCTTACTTCCTGTCTGGTGAAACTGTAATCACCCTGACATTTAGCGAGGAAAAAAAAAGATATCTGTATTACCCTAACGGAGGAAAAATCTCTGTAATGGAGCCCCTAATAATAAAAGCCTAACGGGAGTTGTAATCCTTCCTAACGTTATCCCAAAAACTTGGCAAATAAGAAGTTTCAGCTGAACGCACTTTAATGTCATCTAGGAAAAAGCGACTTTGGACATGACATTTGCTGGTCTTCCCTTTCTGAAGAGATGATGCTAAACAGTGTTCTGACATTTGGTTAAATGACTAGCACTGTCGGGGGTTGAATTCCATACCTGGAGTGAAAGCCAAGTATGTACCTCCCATTTGATATAGGAGGGCGACCTTTAAAGGGCAAGGTAAAGCTCAAACTCAATCATTCTTTTTTCAGTTTTAAGTAGAGTGGGTAAGAGTCAGAACAAGGTTTCATTGTTGTATCCCATAATTGTGGAGATTTCCCCTACTTTCCTGTCGTGTTGACACCAGGGCAAGAAACTTAAGGGTGCAGATTTCACTAGGGATGCACCGAAATTTCGTCCGAAAATGGCACTTTTGTCAAAATGCTGAGTGCCATGACGGCTGAAAATGCGGCTGAAAATCCAGTGTATCCCAGCTTCTCTTCTCCCCACTGGGCGCCTACACAAGAGGAGTACAGAGGATGTACTTCCTCAGTATACTGACACAATTGCACTCAGCCCTGTGAAGATGCAGTTGCTGTGTCACAACTCTGCCTGCTGATCTACAGCTTCGTATCTGAAAAATGTAACATTGTCATTGGGCAGCACAGTGGCGTAGTGGTTAACGCTTCTGACTTGTAGCACTGGGGGTCCCCGGCCAGGTTATTATCTACAATGAGTTTGCATGTTCTTCCTGTGCTCCCGTGGGTTACCTCTCGGTACTCCGCTTTCCTCCCACACTCCAAAGACATGTTGGAAGGTTAATTGGCTCCTGTCTAATTTGGCCCTGTATGTGAGATAAGCAGCTTACAATGTAAGGTCCCTAAGGGCAGGGACTGATGTGAATGTGCACTATGTAAAGCCCTGCATAAAATTGTCGGCCCTTGCCGTGGGGCTACCACCGGCGCTGTATAAAATTGTCGGCCCTTGCCGTAGGGCTACCCCTGTACTGCAAGGG